CCCTATTTCTTTGTCGCATCGCGCTTTCCTCATATCCTTCTTTAGAAAAATTCGAAGAAACTATTGCAATGAAATATATCACACGAAAAGCCGCTCTTCATATTCTTATTTTTTTAAATAAATTTTTTTAAATAAGATTATTTACAAGTCCAAATTTTTTTTCTTTAAAAATTTCAATTCACTATTATTATATTATTCATTTAAATATATATTATATTAAACTTAGATTCATCCACCAAGTTTTATAATTTGTCCTAATTAATATAATTAGTTTCTCGTCATATCAAACTCATTTTCAATAAAAAAAAATTGTTATTGTTAATTTATTCGATTTCGATAAGATAAGTTATCGAAAATCATTTGAAATCTGAAAATTAAATAGATATCATCAGCAATTTTTTCATAATGAGAATATTTATTTTATATGACTAAATACTAATTAAATATCGAAATACTAACTAAATATCGAATGGTCGAAGTCGAAGGTTATATAATATAATTCAACGAAAGCAGGAATTATCTCCTTCTTGTTATTATTGTTCACAATTAAGCTTTGTTCATTGTGGAGAATATTCTGGGGCACATCAGAATTACATTTCAATTTATAGACTATGTATATTTTATAAGCGAATTGTCAGTAAAATTGCAAATTGTTTTTCATTTTATATCATATTTCTTTTAATTTACACAGATAAAAAATTCAAACGCATACATCATTCTTTTATCTTTTTTGGATAAGATTACAATATCTATTTCTTTTTTTATATAAAAGTATTCAATAAATAAAAAAACTTGAAAATTAAATACTTAATTTTAAAAAAATTAACTATTATTAAAACAAAAGTAATTTACTTTTGATTCTTAAATTTTGAATTTTAATATATAATAATTAATAGAAAATTAGTATTGGAAAATTTAAATTTACAAATTTTTAAATAAAAAATAAAAATAAATTTAAGATTTTATTATATTAAATTAAATCTTTTTATTATCCTAATTATGTATTATTAACAGCTAATTATTCAAGTAATTATTTTTAATTAAATTGTATTGATATTATTTGATATTCATTAGAAAATTAAATAATAGAATATTGTATAATGTTAAAAATGATAATAAGTTACAATATCGAGGTTGCAACATTGATGCAGTAGCAATAATAATATTCTGTATTTATACAAATTGGCAAAATGTACACACGTGTTGCACTTAACAGCCGTAGAAATTCATAGCGAAACAAGTGTCGTAACATAATATCAGCCACTTTCATTGACTAATGCGTGAGTTTTCAGGATTGAGTTACGACCAGCACATCTGATCACCTTGAAAATCTAACAATATTACATATTAAATTCTTCGAAAAAGCTGGCACAATTAAATAAGAATGATATTTGATTTTTTTTTTTTGCAAAATGATTTCGAGTACGATTAAAGATTTAAAAATATCCATCATTTAATTCTAAAAATAAAATATTAAATTATTTAAGAATTTTGTTTTATTGATTTTTAATTGAATATTTTTAAAGGAATTTAATAAACAATAAAATAAAGTAATATAATTTAAATTTTATTCCTGACGATTATCAATCTAACGAATAAGATATATATAAATTATATAATAAGTTATTATTCTTAAAATTTTCATGTTTTGTATTTTATTGATAATATATAATAACATATATTTTTTCTTTAATTTATTGGAATATTATCAAGAGCATAAAAAAATTGTGTAAATAATTTAAAAAAAAACCGTAATAAAACGATTTTCAATTTTATTCTATGATTTCCAATCAATTTAATCACAATTTTTCATTTCAAATATATATTTTCACATACTTTATATTTATTACCATATAGAAAACCAATTTTTTATTTTTAAATAATTGAAACGAAATTGCACATGACGAAAAATAAACATGGCCGTGAAACGTTAAATAAGCAAAATAAGCAGCGCACGAAGTTCGTATAAGTTACGTAAATAAACACAAGAAACTGCAGCCAATTGCTAAAACTAGACAAGTGGTTGTCACCGATATGTTCATCTTTTAATATAAATTTTTTTCAATGGCAATATGCTGCTATGTAATAAAACGATCTTTTGTATGATTTTTTGAAAAAAATCATTTGAACAAAAAAAGCATGTTTCTTCTCAAGAAGATTCGTTGCTTACTGTCCTTATTGTTCGCATTTTGAACAGTTTTGCGCAGCTAAGTATTGCCAACCGTCAGTCGACGAATAGATAATCAAATATTCAACAAAGTTTATTATACTAGTAATTGCATTTTCAATGATACTAATCCTCTTTTTATCATATTGTAACTAATCACATATGTAACAATATACAAAAACATTCTATGGAAAATATTGAATGATATTTAAATAAACAAAATTATTAGTTAAATTTATGTATATCGATAATATAATGTATAGATTTAACGAAATATGAATTTGTTAATTAACGAAATATAAAAATTTATTCGAAATAATATTAAAAATAAACTAATAATTTGAAATAACAAATTATTTTAATTACTTTATTATTATTATTTTAAAAATATAATAGAAAGCAAATAACTCATATATTTTGCATTAAAATTAAATAAATTATTTTGAAATAATTTTTTATATAAATTGATTGATTTAAATAAAATAATAAATGATACTGTTGTGTAAAAACTATGAGAAAATCTGTATTTCTCAACTATAAGAGAATAAAATTATATTTAAAAAATTATTTCGAGAAACATTCATCTAAATAAAAAATAAAATAAAAAATATCAGTTTAGCAAAATAATAAAATAATTTTTAAAGAAATAATACTTAATCTATATTTTATCAAAATTTTTATTATTTATATTACTTGTAAAATATTTGAATTAAAAAACATTGAATTGAACATTTGAACTGGAAAATATATTTTGAACGAAATAAATTGTATAAATTAAAATATTATAAAATATAAATTTCTATACAAAATAGAAAAAATATTACTTCATTATTGTTTTTTACAAACAAACGAGTTATTGATTATTCCATATATAATATTTATTCTAATATAAAAATATTATATTCTGATTGAATTATTTGATAAAAATTTTTATTATATAAATAATTTGAAAAATATTTTCTCGTTCTTCGTAATGTATTTCGTAAATAAATTAATAAGAAAAAAAATATTTGCCAAAAATATCTAACAATTATATTATTTTAATAACAATAATTTTTGTTAATAATAATATAATAAATTATTGCATTCAATATTTTACGATTTTCATGCAATATATTTAATTATAAAAAGTATGACAAACATCCTTCATAGATTAAAAATAAATGATTGAAAATATTGATTTAAGTGGCATTAAAAAATATAAAATTAAAAATATACACAATGAACTTGATTATCGAGTATTTAGAATTCTATTAAATGCGGCTTCCATTTATGTTATTAACTTAATGAGATTATACGATTTATTTGACATTGATGGTTACTTGTTTTTGAAAACATATCAAGAAAAATAAAATAATTATTCATAAAAATATTGCTACAAAAAATATAATTCATATAAATATTCAATGAATATCATTTTTTATATTTTATCGAGAAGAAACTTATAATATATTCGGATAATTTGTCAAGTATAAAGCGATATATTTATTTTGTAAGAGGTGCAATGGCATCGATTGAAATTCACGTGTCAATCACGTGCAAATAAAACAAATAGCTATACAATTTATGCACTACATAAATTATTAGCTATTATTATTAGAGAAACTAATCTTATAATCAGTTACAAAAAAAAGTTGATAAATTGATAATGAGAAAATAATAAAGAATAATATATCTTTTTAAATTTTTGAATACAATCATAAATAACTAGTACAATTTATTAGTTTGAGATATATTATCTATTGCGCAACATAATGATTTCGAAAATTGCAACAGTAGCAAAGTCTTCTTATTAGAATATGAAAACTATTCAAGATTTATAACAGTGATTTAATTTATTAAAAATTGAATAAATAATAAATGATCATTTTAACGAATCTGCATATTTTATTTAAGATATACGAGAAAAAAAAACTTACCGAAATACTTATCTGGCTCTAAGCCAGAATCTTTGTCCAGTCCACATATGACAAAATAATCCGCGAACCTCTGTGGATGTTGCTCTGGTCCGCGCATTATTCCCAGACTTCCGTTCATTTTATCCAGAAGAAAAGGCTCACCTCCGCAATACACGAAGCAGCCTCACGAAAACGATTTCCACATTATGAACCTCCACGAAACTGTCATTTCACGCGAGAGCGAAACAACAGCTGATGTTGACGCGTACAGAACGTAACGCACAACTCCGTGGAGTGCGGACCTTTCGCCGCGAATAATTGATCTTTATTTTACAACATGAACTTGCTTACGAGTCGTTATATTCATATAGTTGGCGCTAAAAATTGGCGCGTAATTTTAAATTATGAAATTCTTTTAAACTTAAAAAAAGAATATTAAATAAATAATATTATTAATATTTACTTTATTCATGAAAATTAAGCAATAAAATTAAGCAATAAATTTAATTTTTATATAATATTTTATATAATATTTATTATTTAATTATCAAATTATCAAAACATATCGAAATTTACAAATACTGCCAAAAGAATTTATTTAACAATAGTTTTATTATATAATTATATTTATGCAACTTGAGACTACACATTTTTAATGTGTTGAGAAGTGAAATTTATATTTATTTTATATTTTTAATATTCAATAATATATTATATATTATTTGTATTTTATTATATATAATTTCAATTATGACTATGAAACATTAACTTTTTTAAAGATTATAATATAAATGAGAACGAAAAAATAATAAAACGATCAATATATAAAGCATAAATGCATTTTGTGTTGGTAAAACTGATAATTTTTATTACGCCATCTATATATATTTGCATTGTGCAAATGTTTGTTCACTTATGGACAGGTTAGATTTGTGCAATTCAACTTAAATTTCTTTCGATATAACAATATAGTAGAAGAATTTAGAATTTTCACATTTTTACGGATGATGGAGGAGGTTGACAATATAATAATTCACTCATTGCGTCAAATAGGCTGGTGAGTGTTCCTCTGAACGATTTTATACGCATCTAGAAAATTTTTGGTATCTGATGTCAACCGGTTTGTATAACTAAAAGTGGGCAGCGATATTTATCTGTTTTAAATTTTATATTTTTAAATACATAATTCATAATTTGTTTTATCAAGCAGAAACAATAAAAAAGTTACAATAAAATTTGAATAAAAAATAAATGATATTAATTATTTAAGATATTACAAGTCTTTACAATTGTTAAATAATTGCAAAAATATGTGATAATTTATAAACTAATTGTAAGTACATATGAGACATTAACGATCTCTTTTAATTATAAATATTGTTAAGTTAATTTTAATTATTAACTTATATAATATTAATTCAACATTTTTGTATTACATATATAACTAAAATGTCTCTTTTAGCAATTTTAAAAACTAAATAAAATAATATTTATCATAAAATTTGTAAATTTTCTAATATTAATTTTTTTAGTGACATAGAAGAAAATATAACAAATCTTAGTGGTTTTAACACAGAATTAATTATAAAAGCAACTGTAAAATGTTTGGATATAATAAGACCAGGCCTTGGATTATCAACAGTTTTACCTATAAATATGGCAGCCAGATTTCGATTGGGTGCTACACTTGCTCAAGCATGTTTAGTAAGATTTTATAAATATAAAAATTTCAATTATTTATATAATTTTAGTTTTTTTTAATGTCTTTATTGTAACTTTATAAATTTAGGAATTAGGATACAAAGCTGATGTTGGTTATCAAACATTTTTATATAGTTCAGAAACAGATTTACGAAAAGTTTTTATGTTTCTTATTGAAAAATTACCAAAAGAAAGTGATAAATCTTTAAGTGAACCTGTTAGTAATATTGTATTATTAGAAAAATCTATAGCAAGAGCAATAGCACAAAGTCTTTCTGCTCCATGGTTACCACATTATTGTCATACAAAGGGATTTAGAAACAAAGGAAGAGCCAGAATTCCATATAAATCTGTAAATTTAGAAGTTTCAACAGTAAGGAAGGAAGAAAATAAAGAAGGTAATATTGCTTTTATTTTTATAAATAATTTCATTATTATATTATTATAATATTATTATAATAATATTTTTGATTTTTCTTGTTATAGAATATCAAGATTATTGTATACATTATTTGCAATCTGTGCCTGAACAAATACAAAATGAAATGACATTTCTACCATCTTTGATATCCTACAATGCAAGAGCTCTCCATTCACATTCAATGAGTATTCTTGATCAAATAAATTGGTTAAATGAACAATATTGTGATAAAATTACTGAAGTTAATGAATCTAGTGACATTAATATTTTAAATAGAGTCCCAATACAAGACAAAACATTATCTTCTAATGTAAATTTAAAAAAAATGAATAAAATAATGTTTATAATTTTATTCTATATTTATACTACTTTATTAATTTTTTATTTATTTATCATAGGAACTTCAAATAGAAAATAATAATGCTAAAGAAATTAAACTTATAAAACAAAAAATAATAGATAAAACAGAAAAACAAGATTTACAAATAGAAAAAATAAAAACAGAGTGTGAAACTATTAAAAAAGATATAGAAGAATTGCAAGTTACAATCAAGAACTTAACAACTAGTGTAACACAAGCAACAATAAATTATCAAAATGAGGAAAAAAAATTAACAATCAATGAAGAACAAAAAAAGATTAAAGCAAGAATTTATGATCTATTTCAAGATGGTGAAGAGAATATTAAGAAACTAGAAACAGCTATTGAAGCTACTACAAATAAATTAATTAATTTAGGTAATCAATGGGAAAAACATAGAGTACCTTTAATTCAAAAATACAGACAAGAAAGAGAAAAGCATTCTACTAAAGCTGTAAGTATTATTCTATATATAAAAAATATAAATATAATATAAATATCAATAATATAAAATAGAATTTATTAAATGAAAAATTTGATGAATTTGATTATTATATGTAGAATGCAAGTCAAAAGAAACTTGATGATATTAAGTTACTAAAAGAAAAGGAAAGGGAACTACAAGAAGAATGTCGCAATAAAGATCAACAATACTCACAATTGGTAACAGAAGTTCAGAAACTTTCAAAAGAAGTGAATAGGTCCGCATATACTCAACGAATTTTAGAAATAATTAACAATATTAGAAAACAAAGAGACGAAATTAGTAAAGTATTAGTTGATACACGAGAAATCCAAAAAGAAATAAATACACTTACAGGCAGATTAGAAAGATCCTTTACTGTTGCTGATGAATTAATATTTCGAGATGCAAGAACAAATGAAGCATCAAGGAAAGCTTATAAATTATTAGCTACACTTCATTCTGATTGTAGTGAACTTGTAAATTTAGTAGAAGAAACAGGTGCAACTATAAGGGAAATAAGAGATTTAGAAGAACAGGTAATTAAAATATACAAATAAAATATAGCAAATAATATTATAGTAATTAATTATAATTTACATTATTTATAAAACATTGAAATATGATATAATTAAAATATAATTCTTTTTCTATTTCGTTTTAGATTGATTCTGAAGCTACAAAAAATATTGGAGCAAATTTAGAAAGGATAACTGCTGATTTGAAACAAATGAAACAAGAAACAGCCGAATTAACAGCACAATTACAAAATAAAAATTCGTGATTTTGATATAATCTGTGATATTACAATGTATTATTTATAATAACAACGACCAGGTAAAAATTTTATTAACATTGAAAGAAGAATTTGCAAAATCTTAATAAAAAAAATATTTTACAATATGAAATATATATTGAAACACTTACAAACCATACAAAATTATATTATTTACAGGACATTCCATATAAATATATGAATGAATACATTACAAAGACTAAATTTTATAGTTATTGCAAAATTTAATATATTGCTGCTTATAAAACAATCTTTGTAAATTTAGGATTAATTGTTAAATGTGTGCCTTGGCCCAAAATAATATAATGTTAATTTTGTTTATAGAAGGGCCAAGTTTGTGACAAATTCAATATCAACGCTCAAATGGAACATTATTTGTTACAGAGCCTAATAATTTTTTAGTATATAAATTTTAATTGTACAGTTAACTTTCATATTTATACGAAATAAGTGACTTGGAATTATCTATTATAAATTTATGTAATGAACATTTAAGGATATACTTTTAAGTTATGATGTACAAAATACAAGAAATGAGTAACAATATATATTTTTGATTCTTACTATGATCCTTTTCAATATTAAATAATTTATCAAATAATATTTTAATTATACATTTATTACTTATAACAATTATAAATATATCAAAAATTGCTTTCTTTAACTTTAAATTGTAGGTGGTATATATTCTTTTTCTTTTTCTAATTTTTTCAGCTTCTTCTTAGCATGAGGCATTTTAAGAACATGTTCCATTTTTTTCTTTTCGAATTCTTCTATTTCCTCTATTTGCAATTCTATATCTTCTTCATTCTCAAAGAAAGTCAAAAATCGTTCTTGCTTTTTCATTTCTTCTTTTAATTTCTCTATTTCTTCTTTTTTAGCTATTCGATTTATTTCTTCCATTTGTTTATCTAATATTAATTGTCTCTGTTTTTCCCACTCTACATATTTCTAAAGAATTAAGTAAAATTAATTAATAAATAAAATCATAAATAATAAATTTAATTATTTAATAATTTAATAATATTATATATTATTAATTAATTAATATTCTTTCTTTTGTATTTTATAAAAAAATATTTTTATTAATTACCTGCATTTGTTCATTTATATCAATATCATGCTGTTTTTCAATTGCAGATTTGATATTATTTTCTAATACATTAATTAAATTATCTGTACACAAATTTTTTTCTTTTATCAAATTAACTTCTGACATTAAAATTTTAAATTCATCTGTTTCTTGTTCTTGGAATACATTTTTTTTATCTTTTTCAATCAAATCAAAAACTTCTTTGTAAACAATATTTCCTTCAATTTCATTTATCCATTGTTTTATTAATTTTAATGCATCTTGATATTTTTTATATAATATTAAGCCTCTTAATTGACATGTTCTTCCTAACTCATTATTCATAAATTTTCCTTGAAAAGCTAATGTTTTTCCAACTAAATCATATGGATCAGTAAGATCAAAATGGTCATCAAAAAAAGGATTTCTAAGATAAGCTACACGTATTTTAATTTCTTCTTTAGTATCTTCTATAGGTTCTGGTGGTTTCTGCCATTTATTTGGATTTTCTAAATATTTGTGACAAGCATATACAGATAATGCATTGGTTATCAAATGTTCAGATTCTTCTTGTAACATAGGTAAAATAGCAACTTTTGCAGCATTGGCATAATCTTGTTTTTTTATGTATGTATCCATGAGTATGTTATAAGTGACATAATCAGGAAAAATACCATAATTAAGTCTATTATGTAATACGTTCATAAGTTCTTCAGTATAATTATTATCTAATAAATATCTTATGACAGCATGATGTGTTGAATCTAATATGTTCGATGCTTCTGCACTTTTCCTCAATTTTTGGAGTAGACTCAATAATTCTTCTACTTGATCCTCTTTATTTAAGCTATTTGCAAATATATCTATATCTACTGCACTAACTGTTTTATCAATATGAAATTTATTATCCAAAATAATAAATAAATCGTTTGATTTAAATTTTTGTAGCAATGGCGATTGTAATCGATTTTTCCATGCTTCTTCACATCGGTATGCTTCTGATAGAAAAAATCGCTTTTGTGTTACAATCTTTTGAAACCCATTGTACGCTATTTTATTAAAATTAAATATTTTTAATATTTTATGTTCCATTTTTTTTTGTTAATAAATCATATTCTTACAAGAATATAGTTTAGAACTTCTATTTTTACATAAGTCAGAAAAGGTTATAATTATTTAAATAATTATAATGTATGAAAGAAACTTTTTTAGTTTTTAAATTTTATAGTATAATAAAAATGTTAAAATTATTAATAATTTTTTATGATTTTCCCATTTATATTTTATATATTATTTTTTTTATTTTTAAAAATTTTAAGAACACTCAACATAAACACATCTGATTCGATGAGTTTAATTGTCTACGTATGTAGTTTTTTAAAATTGAATCAAATGATTTAAATCTTTTTGAAATATTAGAAATTTACTAAATATTGTATAAAAAAAAATTAAAAATAAATTACTATTAATCAGAATCGCGGATAAAAAATAAAAGGTTACGATTTTTAATTTAACCCTTTTAAATCATATAGTTATTCAATCAACTTTTACTAAAGATATTGTATACGAAATTACAGAAGTTGTATCAATTGTTCATTTCATAGCTTAAAGAAAAAATTAGAAAGAATAAAATATATATATTAAGTTAAAATTATTTCTTAATAATATATTGTCTGGAAGATAATACATATTCTAGTATGGTGAGAAACATAAATAAATTTGGAAATTATTACGATATAAAGGTTATATCGTTCATGATACACAACAGTTGCAAAGCCGAATTCGAAATTTTTTCAGTATTCCTTACTTAATAAAACAGAAAATGCTCACGAAGATAGTATTTGGACCTGTGCTTGGGGCTGTTTGAAGAAGAAAAAGGAATCACAGCCGGATAATGAAGATTCACGGTAATTACTTTTTATGCAATTTTTAATATATAATAATTATAATATTTTTATATTTTTTATATAATTTTTGTTATTGTGTAATAGTGAATCAATACAATTTAATGAAGATGAAATAGTGGAATATTTAGTCACTGGCTCAGTTGACGATACTGTTAAAGTTTGGGAACAAAAGGATAAAAGTTTACAATTAAAACATAAATTAACTGGTCACTCACTTGGTGTGGTATCTGTTGCTGTAAGTTCAGATGGTTCAAGTAAGTATTAATAAAAAAAAAAAAAATAAAGTAAATGTTAAAATAAAAAAATGAAACATATTTATTTTTAGAATGTGCATCAAGTTCATTAGATTCTAGTTTAAAATTATGGGATTTGGAAACAGGAAATAAAATATCAAGTATTGAAGTAGGCCCTGTAGATATTTGGACAGTAGTATTTTCCCCAGATGATAAATTCATTGTATCTGGTAGTCATTCAGGGAAAATACATTTATATGGAACAGAAAGTGGTAAACAAGAACAAACTTTAGATACCAGAGGTGGTAAATTTACATTGAGTGTTGCCTATGTATGTATTTTAAAAATGTATATTACATAATTTTATTACGTAGAAATAATAACTTTTATATTATATAATTATTTCAGAGTCCTGATGGTAAATATATTGCTAGTGGTGCAATAGATGGAATTATAAATATTTTTGATGTTACATATGGAAAAGTATTGCGTACATTGGAAGGTAATAAAAATTTACTTTTTTAAATATTTGTTAACAATTTATTAATAATATATAAATTTAAATATTTTAGGACATGCAATGCCTATTAGGTCTCTTTGTTTCTCACCAGATTCTCAATTACTTCTTACCGCATCAGATGATGGACATATGAAATTGTATGATGTGTAAGTTCTAAGTTCAAAGTTTCAACCAAAATAAATTACACATATAATTATGAAACATTTATTATATTTTTATTTTATTATATAGGAAAGATGCTAATTTAGCAGGAACTATGTCAGGTCATGCTTCATGGGTACTTGGTGTTGCCTTTGCTCCAAATGGTCAACAGTTTGCATCTAGTAGTTCAGATCATACAATTAAAGTGTGGGAACTAGCCCAAAGACAATGTTTACATACATTTAATGAACATAATGATCAAGTAAGATATTGTATTGTATTATAAGCAATATTATAGAATTTTTATCATAAATTTATAAGATGGAAAAAATTTGCAAAATTTTTATTATGGAATTATAAAAATTTAAATATTTTTTTTTTTTTTTAGGTATGGGCTGTAAAATACAATCCACAAAGAAATAACATAATTGCATCAGTATCTGAGGATAAATCTATTAATCTTTATGAATGTCCATTATATGATAAATAAATTTTTCTTAAATAACTATGTATTTTATATATACAGGTAGTTATAAAAATATGAGACATCTTTGGCGGATGGATTTGCGAGATCAAAAGATAAAAAAAATATAGGCATGCAGATGCAATAAGATTTAGTTATTAAATTATAAGTATTTCAAGTTTACATTTAATAAAATAACAGCACTAAGTTAAGAGTGCCTGCAGTGAAACTCAACGAAAAATATTATTCTTTTAAATATACAAATAACTATTTTTTAATTTTAATATAATGTAATAATGTAATAATTTAATAATGTAATATACAATATATATAAATATCGTGTAATATAATTATGCAACATACTTCGTTTTAAAAAAAAAAAATTTTATCATTTTTAATTTGTTAACTAAATCTTATTGAATATATATATATATATATATATATACTTTTTATGAATTTTTTTTATTGTTTTAATGTTTAGAATCCATTCTTCAAAAGTGTTTTATATTTTTATAAAAATTAAAATTATCCTGTGTATACATATTACATAGTTTAATAAAATGTTATATTTTATTTAATAATCTAATATTTTAATAGAACACATCTTTTTTATTATGATTGAAAATTATTTGATTTAATAATTGATTTGATATTAAACAAAATAGATATTAGTAGCTATAAATTTTATTGTACTGTAATTATTAATATACAAATTATTAAGATGTTCGCCGAATCTAAAATATAATATAACAAAAGATGAATTACACTTAAGATCTAAGTAAAAGATGAAAATTATAAAAGAATCTTGAAAAGGATTTCTGGTGTAGTACAGACCATATCTTGTATGAAAAAAAATATAAGGATACCCTGATATGATTCCAAGTTGGAAGGGTTAAATCTAATTAACTCGAACTGGAACAGGGTAAAATGCGTATAATAAATATGTAATTAACGAACAATAAAATCTATTCTATATCGTGTCAAACAGTTTCCTTCTAATAAGATTTTATATTGATTTGCATATGCGCATATAGAACGAAAGATGACACGATATAGAAAAAAACTTAAAATATTGTACGCATTATTGATCGCTTCAAATATTATAGCAAATTTTCTAGTAAAACTAGAAAATAATGAAGAAAATATGAAAATAAAATTATTAAACGCCATATCGATAGCTTAAACTTTTCAATCTATAAATACATAATTGATCCGTACACACTCTTTAATTGTACCTACGTATATTTTAGAAAGGGTACCAGTTAAATCAGTGGACACTTGTTACATGCAAATCGATTTTATGTAATACATATATGATCAAAATAGAAGCTATTTTAATTGTAGATTTTCAAATAGACTAGAAACTTAATATAAGGATTTACAAAATTTTATCTTTTCATGTAATGCCAGTTTAGCGTTACTTAGACCGCTAAATTGATATAAACATTATTACCATTTTTACCATAACATTTTGTTGTATTGAAAATGTCTCAGTTTCATCCGAATTTTCATCATGTTTCTATCAGTCTTTAAAAAGTAATTAAACTTTATACTTGTTTAGAAGAATACAAATCAGTTTACGATGGAAACAAAATACAGATCTTCTTCCTTGCAAATTTATCTATTACGAAGATGTACAGCGACACATTTTCTGCGATATACATCATGAGTCGTGATACATATTACTAAACTTTCTACATTCTTCATCGACGTTCAATATATACAAAATTGAATAAATAATCGAGCATAATTACTGCTACGTACTACCGATTTTTAATTTTCTTCATAATCATGAAATTTATCAATATATGTATATACAACACGCAAAGTGAATAGGAATGATCAGGATTTCCAGCTATGTCACATTCTAATTATATCTCTTTAAAAAAAAAAAAGATTGCATTGCAATGCACATGCATAATAAGAAAAAAAATTCAATTAATTATTTTCTTATATTCAGTGTGTAAAAATTAGTGAGATACCATGAAGATTTTCGGTGCTCTTTAAACGATGAGGTAAAAAAAGAAAACTTTACTTATCAAGTACTCTTAATATGTACTGCATATTGATTTATGATCAATATAGCAGTAAAGCAAATGTACAATGACTAGCCCGAAACAGAAAAGCGATACTATGAAAAAAGAAATTATTTATTTTATAACAAATTCCCACTATACTGTTGTTACTCTTGTAGAAGCTGTGACTATGTCACTATGACAATCTGTCACTTTGAATTTGCTTTCAGTTTCATCAGGCGTTACTTTGGCTGCTTGTGAAATATCTTGCTTCGGATTATAATTAAAAGGCGGTACGATAGCGGATGCGGGTGTACGCATACCAGCCCCACTAACATATGTTTGTGCAGAACCTTCTCCATTTGAATCTACTCGTATAAAGGAACCAAGACGTGATATCCGTTTCGTGGGATCCATCTCTATCGTGGAGGATTCAGTATGCTGTGATTTTCGTAAAACAACTGAAGCATCACCTATGTCTATGGTATCTTTCTTGTACGTAGAAGCATCGCTAGACTTTACAGGAATCTTGCAAGGAGCATCATTCGCGTTCATTCCGCTTAAATCACAAGAGTTTCTGTATTTCACTTTACTAGGTTGCACACCCATTACCAACGGTCTTTTCAATTTAGATTTGTACAAAGCTGATTCAGAATTATCATTCTCTTGAGGTACTCCTTCAAATGTTGAGCTACGGAATAATCTAAAAGTTGGTGGATTGCTCACTAAAATTGGAGCATCTACATCATTGGCACAATTGCCAGGCTGTACCCATTGCCTAGTATCTGATTTCTCAAACCGTTGCTTATTCTTGCTCTCTTCTACTTTTTTCCACAAACTTGCAATTTTACTAGTTGCTTCCTTTGCCAATTTTCTAGTCTGCATTCCAGTCGATGAATTTGATACTATACTGGAATTACTGTTAGATCTCTGACCAAGAGGACCTACCTTTCGAAAGACTTTACCGTTTTCTGCTTGTGTAGTATTTTGATTATTAGCTGGTATTTTTGGAGTCATTTTTCCTGTAGGTAATCGTTTTGGAGTTACTAATAACGTTTTCGAAGATTGATTCTTTTCTGAAACATTTCCTTTTGATGATTTCGATTGATGTGCTTGATGTGTCTTTGGTGAAATTTTTGGTTTCCCTGTTGTTGGATGTATTTTGGATGTCGCACCTCTAATAGGTTTTGCGATCTTCGTTTTTATCGGAGAAGAAGATGTAGAAACTACGGTAGGAGCATTTTCTACTTCTGGTTCGTCTTTGGTAAACGTACCTTGTCGTTCTAAAGGTTTCACTGTTACATCTGATTTGGTCTCTTGTTGATAATTCGAAGAAGAACATGTTGGAGGTGTGCTATGTCTTTTTACAGATTTTGTGAAGGTTAACGACGATCCTTTTTGAGGAACTGATGCTCTTTTTGCAGCTATAGACAAAACTTTTGTTTTTTTATCATCTGTTGAATTAGAAGTTGCTTTAAGATTTATATTTGATTTTGCAGACTCTTTCATCATGACATTTGGACTATTATTATTTTGCCTGAGGGTGGTAGCTCTAGTGGCTCTTACAATAGGTGAAGTATTACTGCGTCCTATAGGTATTCCACTAACAGGATTCACTTGTTTTAATGGAGACGATTGTGGTGTTGGTTTTCGTGTAATTGGATTCGAATAGAGAGCTTTTCTTCTGCCTCGAATAGCCTTTGGACTTTCTGGATCTGATTTATCTGTAGCATTGGAATCATTGCTGGGATCCCTTACCATTCCTGGTTTAATTATTCGAGGTCTTTTTGTTTCTCTAGGTGGATCTTCAATATTATTTGATTCATCCTCGCTTTCAGTCTCCACGTTGTCGGTATACCTGATGTCTTCATGTGATTTAGGTGCTTCAATTTCAATAGTTTCTTTATAAACATTTTTTGGTTCCTGTACGTTATCTATTTGTTGAGAATATGAACCTATTAACTTTTTCGAAACACCGTTGACAAATCGCATTCGAAGATTACGTTCGGATTCCGATTCATTTGATACTAAACTAATAGTTTCGCAATCTAATAATCCTTCCTCTATAGTTTCATTCGTTTTGTTTGATTCGTTTAATGTATTCAATACAATGGTTGCATTTTGTTCTAGCATGGTTTGAATTTCTGATTCAATATTGTGCGTTGAATCTGGTATCCTATCTTCTGTTACATTTGTAGCATTACTTTCTATATCTTTGAATATACATTCTGAATTGTTCAAAGTTCTTGTACGATATCTTTCTCTATTTTTCTTTTGCTCAGTACGTTTTTTAATTAATGTTTTACAAGCAGATAATTTTAATGTAGGAATAGCAGATTTTACAGGGGATATAGCTCTTGTTGGTTTTTCAGAATTTTCTTGTTCACAAATAGTATTAATTTCTTGTTGATTATTTTGATCTTGATTTATGTCAGGAAAAGGATTTTCTAATACCTGCGTTTGAAATCTTGCTCTATCTTCTTGTCTGCGTTGTTTAGGTGTTAATTTCGAAAAAGGCGAACACTTTCCCCGTGAAACCTTTTCTTGCACTACATTTTCCTGTTGATCCGTTTCTTTTTTGTCAAGCTCCGCAGCTATTGTATAAGTTTTATATCTTTCTTTGGCCAAAGTCCTTTTCTGTTTCGGTGTTAAATTTTTATGCAATCGTTTTCTAGGCGTAGATTCTGCTGAACTAGTGAGACAATATTCGGAAGAAATTGGTGTAACCGCTTCATCAGTATCGCCTGCCTCATCGATTTTATCTATCATAACAGGATGTGAAGCTTCTTCAGTATGTAATTCCGCGTCAATACACAATGTGTCACTGCATATTGTCTCTGATGCCTGTTCTACTGTCGATTCATCCATTTCGCAGACTTCGTTGAATAATGAAGGCGGATTGATATTTTCCAAGCATTCGCTCAAACTATTATTTGCACTATTCTGCATAGCTTCAGCATATCGCATACATGTCATAGAAAGTACATTTGCAACAGGTCTTAATAAGTCAAATGCAGCATCGCTTCCACTTAAGTGTTGCGAATCTTGATCTTTAGAATCCGCCACTTCTGATGTAATACTTGCCACACTTAACATACTATTTTCCATATCGCCAACGTCTGGTAATTCATCTAACATTGATGGTGGTTTAACACTGTCTAAATGCGAACCAGTACATTCATTTAACAAGTTTTCTAAACTGCCAGTATGATTTTGGCTTTGATTAAGAGCTCTTTTAGCTACTACACCTAGAGGAAGTGATTTCTTACGATTATTTCGGGAATCCGTCAAAGAAACATTTTTCACTTGAATCGGAGGTAAAGACGCAGAATTACATCTATCTCGATTAATGAATGACTCGCTACAATCACCTGAACCTGCGTAGCTAGCAGTTAGTGATAATAAACTCCCCATAGAAGAAGGAGGTTTAATTGCATCTAAGTCCATAGATGTCATACTAGTTGTATCTAACTCGTTTTGTCTGTTCATTTCTGCATCCACTGCTTCAGCCAATTTAATTGCTTCTCTTTGAATAATTTTTGAATTCGACATAGGACCACTTTCACTGCTTATTGTTTCATAACACTCTGAGGTAATCGTACCTTGTTCTTCTGCTACATCGCTCTTAAACGAGGCAATTATGGGAGCACTAATGCTGATACTAGGAAAAGAGACATCATTAGGAGAATCCTCGTTCCATGTATCACTCAATACACTTTGTTTCATCGCGTTAGAATCTCGTTCTCGAATTGCTTCTGTTTGCTGCACTAAAGTTGCAGTTAATCGATCTAACGAAGCAATCATGGCATCAGGATCTCTCTGACGTCGATATACATCTTCTTTCTCTACATATTTTGTTGAATCTGCAGATTTTTGTATTAATTTGTGTTTTAAATCAATTTCTTCCTTCTTAATACCATCTATCTCACATATATCGCTATATGTTTTATTAATTTCATCATTACTAATTTTTGTTTTATTTTGTTTTTCTTCAAATTCATCCTTATTTTTATTCACTATAGTTTTATTTAGTTGAATATTGTCCATAGTTTTAGCTAATGCAGGTTGTATACATAATTCTAGAAGCGCATGTTCGGATTGTTCTACAGAATCAATCGATTCGCTGCTGTCTGAATTTGTTACTTTTGAATAAGATTGTTCCATAGATGGATTCTCGATATTTTTATTTTCTATGGATTCTAATACTTTATCATTTTCCCACTTAGTTGAATCATCATCTATATTTTGATCATTATCAATAAGATCATTATGAATCAAAGATGACATATCTTCATTTGAATGGGTATCGATACTAGATAAATATTGTTGTTGAGATGGTTCTGTATTGAATATTACTGTTTCATGTAATATTGGACTATTTCTTAAATTCGAAGGCAATGAAAAGTTGCATAGTCTATCATCATATAATAATGAATTGTGTTCTGTCTTTTTTATTTTGCCTAATTCATTCTGTAAAACTTGATTTGATTGTTGTATTGAAATTTTAGATTCTGTTTCCTGAAATAAAAAAATTTAAATTTATAATATATATATATATATATATATATATTTACATATAGTAGATTACTAAAATTTTAAATTTGTATATTTTTATTATATTAATATTATATATTTATATATTTATATTATATATTTATATATTTTAAATATATAAAGATTTGAAATTAGATTTATTGATTAATTAAAATACTATATAAAGTAATTTTTTTACCTCTTGCATAAATTTAGCTGTACTTTGACCATAATTTGATACAATATTCATTTTTGATGAATTATCAATAACATTATCTATAGAAATTTCGGAATTTATTGTTTCTTCAGATTCCAATTGTTTTATATCAAGACTGTTTATGGTAGAATCGATTAATGAGTTACATTCCATTTGATCAAGTGCAATACTAGTTTGATATCGAGCTAAGTTACTTTCATTTCGTGGAACTTTTTCAAAATTGTTTCCAATAAAAGAATGCCTGTGCCTAAAAAAAAAAACTCATAAATCATTTTTTAACAAATATGTAAAGAAAATGCAATTATAAAATATCATTAATAATTATAATAAATTTATGTTGAATAAATAATTTTTACCTATTATTTTGCATTCCAATATTAATGCAAGCTGTAAGTAGATCTTCATCATCCTCATCGCCATCACTGACTTGATCTAAACATTCGGAAGAGTTGTTTATATTTAATATATAAGGCATGTTACGGGTATCTCCTTTTAGTTCAAATTCCTTACATCCTGAATCATTAGAAGCTTTCAATGCACTGGTCACGTACGAATTAACTCCATTGTTGGGATAATTTTTATCGAATTTATCATTTTTTTCAAACATGCCACTTTGAGTATCATATTTCTTTTTCATATCTATAATAAAGTAAATATAAAATTTTTATTTTATATTTTCATTTTATATTCTTAATAATTTAATAAATATATATAAATGACTATGATAATTATTATTAAAATATATAATAATGTATATAAATGCATATATAGAGAAAGTTTTTTTAATAATCATCTTACCAGGCTTATTTTTAGTCGAATTGGACGTCATATTATTACTTTCATCATATTGTAAATTATTTGAAGATATTTGTGTAAGAGTACTTCTCGAACTATTAAAAAAAATAAATTAAACATTAAAAATTAAAAGAATTGAAATTAAAGAAATATGATTATAATTTCTAATTAAAGAATTTTATTTTTTTATGTATGTTTATATTATATTTATGTATACATATACATAAATATACGAACCTTAATGGATTTTGCACAGTATCTTCTTCAATATTATTGTGCTTGATACTTGTTTCTAAATTCATTTCTTCCTTATCTTGTAATTTACCTTGCTCTTGAATCTTTTTCAATAAATTTCTCTGCCGAGTATCTTCTTGTAAGTCAGAAGCAGATGCTGCTCTAGAAGAATTCAAGGATGTTCCATGTGGCGTTCCTTCTGTGCAATAAGTCTTCACTGTATCTTCATGAATAAGTTCCTGATCATTGTTTGTAAAATAATGGGAATGTGGTTTTTCTTCGTCTTCTAAACTTCGTTCCGCATAACGCAAACTATAGTCAGTCGGTTGATCTAAATCGGTCACGGCATAATCACTAAACAAAGTTCCTTCTGTTCGATGGTTTACAGTTGGTGAAATAGTTTGTTGTATACTATTTAATGAATTATGCTGGTGTAATACACTCTTATCATAGACATTTTCAAAGCTGATAGTATCTTTTACAGGAGAGCTACTATTAACAAAAGATAACGAAGTTTCTATCCCAGTCTTTGTAGTCACATATTCTGTTTTTGTGCAAGTATTTAACTCCGTTTCTTCTGAAATACTGGATTGACTGCCAGTCTTTAGAATAGACGAGATGCTTTGTGGCAAATTGTCTTCTACAGAAGAATGTAATAAATTTTGTGAACAAGTGGATTCTTGATCTGGAGCAGAAGACCAGGAAATAGTAGAGTTAGTACATCTAAGATCACCAAGAGCATTAAAATCTGATGATTTTAAACGATCTGGGATGGCATTTTTATAGCGTAATGTATATTTTTTCTCTGAAGACGTTTTCGAATGAACATCGGTGGATATTCCACTATCAAAACCGACTGCAGAATGCAACGATGAAGATTGCTGTTTTATTTGAATATCAGTGGGAGATAATCCGTTCAATACATGTCGATTTACTCTTTCGAACATAGTATCAGAGTGTGTACTTGTTATAGAACGCATAGAGTCCCTACTCTCACTTCTGGCGACTCCGTTACATTTGATATTAGATGTGCTGGGCTGATTGTGCAACTGATAAGAACGTAGACTACGCGTATTGATCCCTAAGAAGCTGTGTTCAACCTTGAATGAAAACTTGTCGTCTTTGTTAGTAGGCGATGTGCTAGGTTCAATATTATCGCAAGTTTCTGCTAAGTTTTGATCTATTTCTTGCTCTAAAGCTCTTTGCCTGCGAGCAACTAGAGTTGGTAAAGTTGGAAGGCCTAATCCGCGTGCTGTTGAATCTAAGTGAACAAGGTTGTTGGAACCTGGTCTGGCACTTAGCAAATTCTTTAAAGCTGCACTTGAACCCATTGAAATCATTTTGTGCTTGGAGTGAATTAGACTACGAAGCATTGGAACGGCGCCTAAGTCCCATAATAAACGCTGATCTTGAGGACATCGAGCAGAAAGATTCCATAGAGCTCCACAGGCATTACTAACAACGGTTAAACTAGGTGATCGTAATTGTTGCAATAATACTTGCAAACATCCTCTTTCTCTTACAATGGCTCGATAATCTTCTCTAACGGCGATATGGCTAGATACATTCCTCAATATACCACCAGCGTTTTCTACAATAGCTAAAGTTTTAGACGGTGCTTTGTAACTCAACATATCCACGAGGAATGCTAGTGCACCATCCACGGCGCAAATGTCTACCTTATTCGTACTACAATGTGCCGATAAGTTCCATAATGCAGACAATATCGATTTGAGCGTTGATTCTTTCCTACCTTCCATCGCAGCCTTCATTAAACCAGTCACAGCTCCTACTTCCCTTAATGTTTGTTTGCTACTGGTATCAGCTCGCCACGACAAATTTCTTAATACAGATGCTGTTACTTGTCTAAGATCATCGCTTGGACTTTTCAACTGCGAGACTAGTGCCTTCATGAACTCCCGGAAGGAGCATAATAATGCTTTATTATTTCCATCGCCGAAAGTCAAATTAGTCAGAGCCATTCCAGCATATCTACGTAAAGTGATACAGTTTTGGTCATCGCATTCGCTTCCATGTGCCATATGATCCATCTCGATTAGTTCTGCGACCGCGTGAAGTCCACCGAGTTGACACATAGCGTGACGATGAGCTTCATCGAAGGAAAGTTTCATTAATGCTGCTATAGTCGGTCCAGGATGTCTTTCTAAATCATCAGGAATCTGTCCCGTTTGCAGAGACGTTCTCAGTGCTTGACAATAATCTCGTAACTGTTCTAAAAATCGAAGAACCCTTGCTTCTCTACGTCCTGCCCTTTCGTCACTTTTAGCGTATACTATATTGTGCAAAGCTCTTGATGCTTTTTCTCTGGTTTCTGGATCTTGTCCTGGAGCGTGAATTAACTGTACCAACAATGGCAGGCATCCTGATTGCCTCATTATGAGGCAATTATCTATCGAATTACTCATTGAGAGTAACGTTGCACTCATATCTTCCCGGCCCTCTGTACTGCCTAACATTCCCAATAGATTGTACACCACGTCTACTTTTGCTCCTAATCTTCGATCTCCTTGTATTTCCGTAGAACAGCCGAAAGCCCCACCCGAATTTGAAGAAAAGCTCATCACGCTAGCTATATCCTGTGAGAGAAAGGGTGAATGTTAGTATTTTTAGTTGTAATCTGAAAAGTATTTTTATAATTTTTTTATTAAATAAATAGCAATTAAAAAAATAAATTTTTAATAATTAAATAATTTTAATAAAATGCTATTTCTACAATGTTTTTCTAACTAACTTTTTTATGAAGTTAATAAAAACAGAATAGTTATTTTTTTGAAAGATATTTTAATTATTTTTATACAGGAAAAGCTTTAACTTTTTTGCTTTTTTTATCTGAAATTTTAATAACAATTAATAATTGTCTGCTTTTTCTAAATACATTACATAATTTATTATATGTATTTTAAATCTTTTTTAATTAAATTATAAATTATTAATCATATATTAATTAAATAATTATGAAATAAAATTAATTAATTAATCACAATGAATCTTATCCAATCAATTATAGTTTTTTGCTGCGTAAATATTTTATAATAATGCTAGTGCTTAACACAATGAGTCAAACTTCATTTTCACAGGTCATTGCTCCTATTTCAGTGTCGTCTCTATGACAGATTATGTATTTATTAAACTATTCATTCAACTTGCGATGCATATTTTGTATTTATTTTTATTATATTCATATTTTTTTAACATAATTTTTTTTTGGAAACGATTTATTAATTATTTTTAATATTTATTATTATTACAAAAAGATAAATATATATTTTTTTCATTTTAAGTTTATCAAATTTTTAAAATTGACTATTATTCTTTCTTCGATTGTGTGACGTATAATTCACAAAAAAGTGATTTACGTTATGTACAGTGGTTGATGTGCCTTGTTGAGTGGAAAATCCCATTTGTTGATTAGCCCATATATCTCTTCTGATGGGCCAAGTTCCCCGATAAGAAGACGGTATTCTATGACCTTGTAGGGATGTATCCGGTTTGCTATCTTCTTCGCTACTTCCACCCTCATTGTAACGTTTATTTCTTCTTATATATATCTGCTAAACATAATAAAATGCTTCTACTAAATATTTATTTTTATTTAATAATAACAAATAATCTTAAAAAATCTTCAAGAAAAATAAACTTTTTTAAACATACTGTGTTAAAAAAAATTTTACTTACATTTTATTTTTTTTACTATTAATTTTATTTACAAATTCTATCAATTGTTTTACCACAAGTAAATTTTGATCTTTCAATATTAGAATTTTTTCTGACATTTTCGCAAAAATATATATTACATAAAATATAAATATTCACTAATTTAATCATTATAAGAAAAAAAATAAAATTTTTTTTTAATTCAATTTGAATTTCCCGCTGAAAACAAAATGGAAACCACGAGATTAATTCCAATTTACTCGATACAAAATAATTAATGTTCTTGTTTATTTACGTTTCTTGTACAGAACGGACGAAATAAATTCTTAGGGAAATGTTTGGGGTAACAGAGCAAGTTAAAGAGCGACGAAAGAGAAAAGCAGAGAGATAAGAAGCGCAAGCAAGAAAGAAAATGCATATGTGCGAGTAAACGTGTATAACTATGGTTAGAGAAAGATGGAATGAGTTCTCTGTAAAATCAATACGCGACGTTGGTAGAAGTGTATATAGGAAGGACTCGTATTCTACTAGCACGAGGCAATATCAGTAATTTCCAGCCATTTTTTCTTTAAATTACATCTTATTTAAAATTAAAAACATCATAACAAATCTTTTCAAATAAGAAAAAATATATCAATGGTATAATTTTAACATAACCTATCTTTAGTATATCCGATTTAGTTATATAAGTATGCAGTATGTAATTTTCCGGTTATTAAAATTATTATAAAGATGTATATGCATAGTTCCTTTCGAAAGTTTCAACAGATTGTCAAGCACGAAACAACAATTATATAAATAGGCAAATTTTATTATTCGAAACGAAGAATCTCGTACATCACGCATTTCGTTTACATATTCTCCAACATCCCTATAGATACTAATTAATTTACACACTTATTATGATGCAGTACTAGACATTGTGCTTATGCTTTTAGAAATTGCATTAACTATCTTTGATGCAATTATCGTTATTGTTTGACAATAAAGATTTACATCGTGCTAGACAATAGGGTGACATTCTGTTATTATAGAAGATAATGAAATATAACGGTATATGGTAATTTTGCTTTCATCATTGATACTTTATAAATACATAGAAATAACAAAATAAAGTTGAATAATCAACAAATAAGAAAAAAAAGCTTCAAATTAAAATCATCGATCAATATTAATTGATATCATATGATATATTAAAAGTTATCAAATTATTTCGCAGATTCCAAGTTAAAATGCAAAATGACTGTAAGAAAGAAATTGATTTATTGCTATCAAAAACCGCATTCCTTTATAAGATATAAGTATACCTGTTCTATTTGCGCATTACAGGCTTCTCTTCAAGTTTGAAAAAACAATCGTTCGACAAAAGAAAAAAATGTACACAGTTTAACTCGATCAATTTCAGTGTCATCTCTCCGTTATCATATCACAAACCTATCAATCACACATCATATCATGCATTAACTGAGAATCAACCAAAACAGAAGAAATTGAATACAGGAAAAAATAGATCATATAAACTAAAGATTAAATATAAATAGGATAAAAATAAAAAAATTAAAAAAAAGAAAATAAAAGTATTACCTCGGGACTCGGCGTGGACGACCTTCGTTCGTCCTCCTCTTTCACTTCCGGCTCCATGGCATCCTCCTTGCTGGTTTCAGCAATCACGGAACCCAGGTACAATCTTGGTCTGATATTGGCATTGACGGGTAAAAAAGTGGAAGAGGATAAAGGCGTTTTCAGAGTGTTTTTCACCAACGAGCATCTCGTGGATGTCGTCGCCGCTGCGGCGACAGGGTTGAACGCTGCGCCGTCCACGGACGACTCCAGCTCGTGCGCCGCGACGCCGGACAGGGGCGCAGATATCTCGATATTGTGAGGGCGCCGTTGAGCCCTCCACGAGCCGACACCTTCCACGCCGACGCCTACCGGTCCGTGAGACACGCGACACTCCTCAGACAAGGATCTTTCCGGTCTCTTTTGGCAATCATCCGCGTCCTCCTACAATAAAAATAATCAGAGATAAAAACACAAGTTTATTGTTAAGATTTTGGATATTTGTTTAGAATGATTTTTTCATGAACATTTTTCATTTAAGAATTTGTATAAAAATTAAAAATAATGAAGATTTAAATATTAAATCTTCTAAAAGGTTTAATATTTTAACTCGATTCAATAATTTGCATAGAAATTTTAAATATCTTGAGATTATAAAATAAATTAGATTAAATGATTTTCATTTTTGTGCATTTATTTAAAATCTTTATTAAAGAAATTTCATTGTTAGTTTTTACTTCTATTTAATTGGGGTAAATATTGAAATAACTAATACTATGTTTAATTTTAAAGTATGAATATCTGCAAATAAAATATATTGAAATTTTTGCTTTTAGAAAGATTTTCCAGATATATCAATTGTAAATCTGCCAAGACATGATTTTAGATAAAATATTTAATAGAAGAATGAAAACTCAGATTGCAAAGAATTGAATAACAAGATGTAATGCAAATGTTTGCAATTCTTAAAAAGATGTTCTTAATCTTTTAAATTTTTCCTTTTTTTTTTTTGATTGATTATGAAGTGATCTGAAATGATTATGAAGTGATCTGAAATTATTAGACTGCATATAATCTATAAAATATAATGTTTGTTTAGATGATAGGAGAGTGATTTACTATGTGAATAATGATACACTTAATCGATATTTTTTTGTATACAAAATCAATGTGATTGTTTCCTTCGATCGGTACAAGTCTGTACAAGTTGTCACAATATTCTTCGATTCAATATTTAATAATTCATTATATAACAAGCTATATAATATACATAATACATATAATACACATTTTAATAGAATTATAGAATTATGTTTTATACGTATATTACTCTACTATTTTTTATTTCGTTTTTCTTTGTATTAAATCATATTAAATGATTAAAATCACATATATTAGAAATATGCATAATACAGAAATTTGCACGTTTGTAATACAAAAATTACAATTGTAAAATTTGAAAAGAGAAAAAATAATACATAAACTATGATTTTTAATATATCATGCGTGAAATTTAAGAGGAAATATATTCTATTGGGATTGTAATATTTATAATATAAATATAAAATTAAATAATGAAATCGTTATAAAAAAGAAATATAAAATTAATGAGATACTAATATGATGAGATCAATATAAAATTAAAATTTTTTAATAAAATTACTATAAATTATCTGATATAAGAAAATTGATTGTTTTTTCATACTTACAGGTATTAAGATGAAGGTTATATGTATTCTTTTATATGGGTGCATATAATTTTTTATTGCATTAAGTTAAGATATAATCATTTATATCTTAACTAATTTTAATGCATTCATTAAAATGATATGATTTTATTTAAGAAAAAAAATCATATGTATCATTTTAATAACTATATTTCATAATATCCATTAATATTTATAATCCTTTAAAAGTACAAAAACTTTCTTATTTATAATATAGAAAATTTAGATAATATTCATACATACATACTAAATATAATATATATGTACATACAAGTACAGGAACAAAAAAATATTTGATACTATCACATTATAATGATAATCAATATAGTGTTTAGATTATAATTTGTTATATAACGAAACGTGGGCAGTGCGTCCTTATCATGTAACATCCTCATGTAGAGAAATATAATGTCACGAATGTCACTCACAATTACTTGCGCTAAAAATAAATTCATATCTTGCGAACATGAAAATTCTTCGAACAAATATCTCGGATATAAAATATTGATATTTAATGAATCATTTTTCAATTATTGAAAATTCTTTCTATAGAAATTAATCAGATTATGAATAAATATTTTATTATAATTATAATCATGTATTTGAGTGTTAAAATAATAATATAAAATACACAAAAATAATATAAAAATTAGAAAAATATTTCTTTATTATATTTGAAGAAAAAAAATATATAGTTTATACTAGCAATTAAATTAATTAGCAATTATTATGTACATTTTACAAAAACTAATGAAAAAATATTTTATTTTTCTATGTTTCTTTTTTTTTTTTCTAAGAAAGTTGCATTTATATTGAAATTATAAATGAAATTTTTTCATTTAAATAAATTTCTCAATCTTTAATATTACATAATATTAATTATACATAATATTACATAATAAAAATATTAAATCTATATTAATTATACACATTTTTTAAATTCTTTGGTACATAATTCTATTTCAAATATAATCATAATCAAAATGATGAACTTATTAAAAATTTTAAAAAAAATTTTAATTTTAAACTTCAAAATCATATTTGTCATATGAATCCTAAAGAGATTGATCATCATATCATATATGATCAATCATAATCTATATTTCCACTTCTTCTCATAAATTATTCCACTTTCTTTCTCATAAATTACAATATTACCTTTTTATGTACTCTTCGTAAAAAGAGAGAGAAAAAGAAAGAACAATGTGATGAAAAATATGAATCTTTCAACCAACCAAACAGTTTCATTTCGTCATGAAACGTTTGAAACTGATCCAAAAACCGAGAGCCGTCGCGCGATATTGTCAGGCTTAACACCATACGTCCGGGGATTATTGCTTTCACGTATTCCACGGAGTTCATTCATTTTTATCCCACTTAATTTAGACCTCGTAGCCGTGTCCATTCCCCCAGTTTCGTTCTCTTTGAGCAAAGCAAACAAACATAGCTGGGGAAAGCGGCGGATCGCTCGAATTCGCATCGAAATCCCGCCAATTTCGATGGGTTGCACTTTCTCCCAGGTTCACGGACGTTCCTCTCAAACTTCTTTCTTTACCCGTCAGTCGCATCGCGATCGGCAAAGTTTAAAGTCGATCCAGACGACACGGAACGTTTACGCTGCGTGCAAGAAGCAATTAACCCTTCGCGTTCTGGGACAGAAAAAGGTTATCGATGCCATGACCTGAAACGTCTTAAAATGATGCTCGGAATATCCTGCGGAATTAAGGGAATTTATGTCCCCTGAATATTAATGGAAGTGGATTAAAAATTGCGTCTTAAATATTCTAAATATTAAAAACCATGTACTTAACGCTAGAATACATGATTTGTAGCATATATATATTCTTTATGTATGTATATATAGGATATTCAAATAAGATAGAAAATTTAAACAATGATTCTGAAATAAGAAATTGAAATAAATATGAAAGTTATTTTTCAAATTATGAATAATCTAATTTTGAGATTAATTTTAGATAAAGCGAAATATAAATGTAATGGAACTGTCTCACTTTGAAATGCAAGATCGGTGACCTAAAAATTTTACTAATCCGAAGGATCTCGTTTCACCTATATAAAAAGTAATGAGAGCAGATCGACAAAGATCGGTTACAGATCGTATATAAAATCAAAGAATAAGCATTGTCGAGGAATTTTACTACTTTCACCCGATTTTCTCCACTATTCTTCTTCAAAATTCAAAAACAATGCTGGTAACACGAATAACCATGCGTAACATTATTTCAAAAAGGATTTTAGAATCACTTGAAATTGTAATGATCTAAGTATATTTAAACATAGTATTGGAGGTTGTTAAAATACAGCTGATCGCTAAAGCAGTTCGTGGAAGACTGATTAGATGAAATTATGTAAATTGCTATGAAACATTGGTAAGTTACAGTTCAAGGTAAAATTTAATATTAAGTGATTAGAATAACATTCACATAAAGCATATAAATAAAAGAATTGGTGAATAAAAATAATTTCTTTTATGCTTTATGACTATATTCTTTTATGCTTAATTTTTTTTGAAGAAATTTTCAGAAACTGTTCATATTTAATATTTAATATTACTATATATAATATAATAATTATAATTCATATTAAATATTATAATGAAAAATTGAGCAGTGTAACGATTTTTATCAACTGTTTTTTTACATAATCTAAATCTAATTTAAATCAAATCTAGAAATGATCATGAATAAAAAATATCTAAGAAAGTAGAATAATTACTCACATTGAATAATACTCACATTGAATAATTGTATTTAAAAATAATAATAAAATAAAATTATAATTAATTAAATATTTTTAAAAAAATATTTACACATTGTTAATGCTTTTTTCATTATACATACACTGTTACATAGAAAAAATAACGACTTTTCGTTAAATTCTAATTCTGTTATAAATCATCACTAAGTAGCAAGATATTATTTAACTCACAAGTAGCATATTAAATAAGAAATTAATATTGAATTAATGATGAATCATTCTTAATTAGCTCGTGATTCACAGTGCATTCAAACATTAACCTCAATTTTATATTTTCGTTTTATTATATAAATTATTGTTTAAATATCATCAATTTAACATCAACATCATGATTTTGAAATTGCAATCTTATCATTTATCTTATATTATTTTAGTTTATTTTATATAGTGTATAAAGAAAATTTATATAATTAATAGTTTTAATAACAGATAATATATATTTTTAGGATAAAAAGCAATATTAATTTTTTTTTCTAATTTTGATTTTCTATAAATCTATATATATCTTTATAAACTTTTCTCAATGTTGATTTGACATCAATCTTTTCTTTAATTTCTTTTTATCACGAAACGAAGAAATCAATCGAAGAAATTCAAACAGATATTATGTTATTTGTTACTTGTCTTTAAAACAATTAAACTTTTTAACGAATAAATGATTAACCTAATCATTCCATCGTTACGCTTCACGATGGAAGCCTTCCTTTTCTCTCAATTTTATTTACATAGGAATCAGAGGCTTATCTTTCCAATGGTAGCATAAGATGGCCGGATAAGAAGCTGGCAAGAGAAAGGAAACGAAGGTTCTAAGGTGAAAGCTGGATAAATTCCATCGTTGCTCTTGTATTCTATTATTTTAATCTTTTTTATCCGGAAGATTCATCGGCTGTGAGTTAGTGGGAACTTTTGGTGAAACTATATATACGATTTCAATTATGACACGCACCGGAAGTTGAAGAATCTTGCGCTCGAAAGCGCGTTAAAATTTCAGGAAATTGAAATAATTGCTTCGAGTAAAGGCGATAAATTAATTTTGAGAATCTGAAAATAATTTGTTAGTTTGGATATGTATTTTATAACTTAATTTGCTTATCTTTTCTGTCGAAATCAAAAATTTAATATAAGATTATAATTAAGATTTATCTAAGAATTAAGAGGTTAATTTTCACTTTGACACGATATTTTGATAAGACGAAAAGATTTTTCTGAACCTGAAGAACATACACGACGAGGAACGTGAAGTGTTCTGTTCGCATATATGCTGCACGTGACTAAAATACACTTCCTTGCTTGGTCGAGTCAAAAATAAAAATACAACTCGTTGACGATCGATTTCGATGTTCTGGAATCGAGATAAAAATTTCACTTTCGTAAAAATTGTTGTTTAAGAATTAAAAATTCAAATTTTCTTTTCCAAAAGTAAAAATGTAAAAATAATTTAACAAAAAATATTTATTAGATAATAATAATTATCGAATTACGAATTATAATTATTGATGAATTACTTCATATATTTATTTAATACATATATGATAAAATCATAAACGATTTTTTATTTGAAATTTTTTATGTATAACTTAATATAATGTAATAACGACATATATATATTTATTTTCATAAATAAAAATTAAAATAAAATCTCGATTAAAATATTTTCATTCACAAATAAAATTTATTCATTAAATAAAAATATATTTTTTAAATCACATATCTTATGAAAATATTCTGATTTTCATAAGATTTCACAAGATTTTCATTTTCATAAGACATAAAATAAATTCAATTTTAGAAGAACAAAATCTTCTACTATAAATATTTTCCAAAAAATTTGAAAAATTCGCTCGTAATGATCACAATACGAATTCAAATCGGAGTTAAAGACTTTATGCTTTCGAATGATCGCTTCAAGTATACTCCTACTATTTTAAACGCGACGCTAGCACGACAGAATTAAATCTCTCGAGTGCTCTTCTTTGCCCTATTTCGGTCCAATTGTAAGAAATAAAGCGACAAAGCGAATGAACGTGCCATGTATTGTGACGAAATAGTATGTACAATCGTGAGAAGTAATCAAGAATCTACGATCTACGATATAGAATCGAGTTTAAATTATTTAAACAGACTACGAAACTTTGTTCTTAATGAGAAATTTCTATTTTAACATCGAAACTGTAATACAGAATAAAATAGCCAATCAAACGAAAAACAATTCTATATGCAAAAATAAATCGAAGAAAAAAAATTATTTTGAAGAAAATCAAGATTGAGTCAAAACGCGAATATTTTTTAAAGTGGATAATATATGAATAAATTGTATAAAAAATTATTCTATACATAATATTTTTTAGATTAAATTCTTATTTAAATTTTTAAATTTAATTCCCTCGAAAAATAATTTTAAAATAAACGAATTTTATTGTATTAATATTATCTTTTATATTATTCAATATGCATTATTAAATAATTAAAGAAATAATAATGATGGTCAAATGATAATGCAACAGAAAATAAACATTACTTTAAATACAGCTTCTTAGCATTAATTATTTAATTGTACGATGTTCCCTTCAAATTGTAATACAATTAAAATTCTTTGTATGGAAGGATAGCCTGAGATAAGATAGAAAAACAGAGAAATTATCATGTAATTTCCATTGTGTCCTTTCGTGGAAAGCTTGCACTGTATAGAAATATGTCTGTCAATTTGTTGAACGATTTATCAGGAGTTATCGAATTATGCATTGAATGCCGCGGCGAATAATCATATTAAAAAACATCTTTATGAATCATTCCTTGCATAATCTAATTTAACGTTTAATCTTCGTTTTAATTATTGAAATTCAACGTCACATATTTTATAAACATTAATATTATCATCGTCTATTTGTTTCCTTTGTAGATTTGACGTCATTCTTATCTTATTGTTAAGTAAGTATTTCATATCATTCATCCCTCATAATATATTCATAGTATCTTCTGAATCAAAGAGAAACTGAAAATGTACGTATATTATACCCATCGAAATATCGAAAAATGTTTTAAGTTTAATTTGAAAATTTAACACACATGAGATGCTAACAAAAGCGTATACAAAAAGGAAAAAAAAAAACATTAAATCGTAAACTCAAATACTACCATCTTTAATTTATTTTTATCCTCTTAAAATTTCTTCCCGTCTTCAATTGTTTCAAAGTAATATACAATGCGTCCCACTTTATCTTCTTTTCGTTCAAACTATGCCAATGTATCTTAAAATTGAAAATAAAGATTAAATTGTTGCATAACAAAGTTTATAGATAATTTATTAAAAATTTTTTTAACGAAAATATGAAACGTGTCACTCGTCAACATAACTCATCTATTTATCATTTCAATTTCAAATAAAATTTATTCAAATGTAATTTATATATAATATTATTAGTTAATAAATTATTATCCAAGTGATCCTAACGTCATCGTTTATAATAAAAAATTTTTTACAGAAAAATTAAATAATATTCAACAATCACACCTTTTCGTCATAAGATACTTTAAGGATTATAAATCGAATCCACAATTAAAAGGAAATCAGTGATGCAAAGAAGATCTAACCAAATCGTTTCGAAAGATGTAAGGATAAGACTTACTGAATAAAATTATTAAAAGAATTGTGTTTAAAGGGCCTTTGCAAAATGCAAAACGTTTTTCAGAGTGCAATTCGAATGTTAAAAGTACCATGACTCGTGGATGGAGAGAAATGAATGGCTTATGGTTCAGAAAATTTTCAAGTGGAACATTGTCTATGCGATGCGTTTAATGAATCGAATTAGAAGCGATGGGGATTAAAGAAATCGTGATAAGAAAGGCGACCCGCATTTTTTCATGCAATTATATCTAATTATTCCCCTTTGTGTCGGTTCAAGTGCAATTTTTCAATGTCACGAAATAGAAAATGAGAACGATGAACGAGTAATATTAGTAAATTTATTCCAAAAGAGTTTAAAAGATTCAATTAAAAAAACATCCATTAAAAATATTATTATGTCAATTTTTAAAAGGACAATATTCAAAATTTTAATGATAATTATGAAATAACAGACTTCGACAACACAATATCAAGCTATTAATAAAGTATTGATCTCGACATAAAACGGTAAAGTTACGTAAAATAAAATTGCAATAATAAAATAAAAAAAGACTTCAACAAACATATTCATGTCATGAAAATTAAAAAAAATCAACGAAAATTAAAATCCAAATAAAAGAATTGATAATTGCATCAGTATAGTTTAATATCGAAAGAAACTTCACAAAAAATAAAATTCAAATTAAGAATCCTTAATTAAATCTAAAATAAGTCAATCTATTCGGCTTTGCATCAATATTAGAAAAAAATCGTCGTGTATTTTCTTTCCACTACAATAAATTCACCAATTCAATATTTCGCGCTTCGATCCTTTGATAAATTTTATTAGATTTCTGTTTTCATCAATGATCGATGACAAGCAAAAGAAGAAGAGAAAAATAAGAAGTTTGAAACGAAGAAGGGAATCACCTTTCGCACAGGACATCGATACACGTTGCAGGACAGGTCACAGTATCGCGGTGCAGCCGGCTCCCTAGTGGAGGACACTCGATATCCATCCTCATCCTCGTCCACGTTGATCCTTCGCTCCTTCTCCAACGCGTCCACAAGACCTCTGTTGTTCTCCATGATCAATCTCAAACGATTCTTCTCCGTCTTCACGGTCTTTGGGTTATGTGGCATTGCACGGGGAAGAGGGATCATCGAGCTACCGCGTGTTCTTACTTCAAGCTCGCTCGTTTTTGACGGAGAACCCTCTCTTATTCCTGACGTCGTTTGTCTCAAGCCTCTCTCCCTCTTTTCACCCGGCATAATTTTCTTACTCCGAAACTATACTATACTACTTCCTTCCTTTCTTTCTTTTTTTCTTTTTTTATATTTATTATATCGTTTTTTTTTTATTTTCTATTCTTTATTTCCTATTATTTTATTTATATTTATCATCTTCGTATCGTTTCACGTTATTATACATTTATTATTTATTCCGTTTTCCATCTTCTAATTATATATTTTTCAAATATTTATTCCGTATCCCTTTTTGATTTTATTTTTATTATATCGTGTCCATGGGATCAATCGACGGGTCAAGTCTGAATCGAGCGAGAGGTGTGAAATCAGAGAGATTAAACCGCGAGGATCGGCGAACGACGCGTCGCGACGTCTTGCGTGTCCTGGCTGATCCGACGTCGACGCACACCATGAGAAAAGCTTCTCTTCTCCGGGTCTCGACCCTTCTTCATCCACCGAGGGACAGCTTCATCGTGCTCCATCGGGCGCCGAGTGCGTCGGCACGCATGCGCCGAAGCAAAGATTTTCAAAATGTCCCTCTGGCATTTCAACACCCCATCCCTGTTGCACGACGAAACCTTTCTCGATGTGTGTATTCTTTATCGCGGCACGATTAATTATTTTTTACGTACCACTCGTTTATATACTTGTTGCTTTCTTTTTCGTTTCGAAGCAACGAAACGATGACAAGACCGTGCTCTACGAGGCTTAATTGGTACGCTGACCTTTCGAGAATTTGCGGAATGTGTCGAGAGAGGAACTATCTTTTTTTTCTTCGCGGTTTAATATAGCAAACGATCGAATGATACAATTTGCGGGAAGGATTGATTATCGATCTTGATCACTATGTTGAAATCTTGAAATTAGTGTCAGGAATGTAGATATAGATACGTATACCCGTAATATATAGTCTTTTTTATGTAATCAGACTGCGAGGAACTATTTTCTTCTTTTTCCTTTCTGCTTGTTATTTGTTATAAATGAATATATATTATGATCAATTTTTTTTTATTATATTTAATATTTATCATATATATCGTGTATTATAAATCTGTAATAATCTTTAATAGTTTAAAATTTATAGGATTTGCGATGCTTATCTTATCGAAGGAACAATCTTTTAATCTTTTATTAGATTTTATATTTAGGTATTATATCTATATTTCACAATTCTTAGTATTACATGTTATCGTAATATTTAGCTGAAGTTGATTTAGAAAGAATTTCTCTTTTCAGAGAGATTCTTTGAAAATTTCGATTCCTTTCACGGTTTATTTTCCTTGTGACACGGTCGATGGTTTGGAATTACAGGTTCCATTTATAGTTGCACGTTGCCACTCGTTTGCGGCCCACGTTTTGCCATTTGTTTCGCAAATCAACCGGACGCGCCTTTTGCGGTGAGAGATAAAGAAGAAAAATCTGCTTTCTTCCTTCTTCGACCTGATTTCTTCCGAAGAAAATTTCAAATTGATACCAACGTCTTACTTAATCTTATTTTTTGATTCGATATTACCTTATACGGTTTTTAATCCCCGGTTTAATAAATTTATCCAAAAATAGAAGAAATATAAGATTCATCGGATAAACCTCTCACATTTACTTTCTTCGAGCTTTCACTATCATAAAAGAGTCTTCATTTCGTAAAAATTAATAATTTTTTTTTTTAAATTTTGTAAAAATTTATCTTAACCTCAAAATTTCAAGGATATTTTAAAAAAATCTCCACTCCGGTAAATCTTCTTATTCGGTTTCCTTCGAAATTAACATTCAAAAGAATGTTTGCGACACTTTTCGGATTATCATCATCACAATTTATTATTTAAATTCTTTATTTAAACAGACTTCCATATTCTTTTTGATATCTAAAGAACATTTCTATTTTTTTCAAGTTATTTCGCAAGGAAATCTTGGAAACCGACTTCTTTTTTACCGACCCGTGCTTGTTAAAAAATCTCCGGTTCCGTTTCAATTACGACAATCAACGAGAACTCCTTCGTATCATGAACACACACCACTTTGATTCGACTCCGACTTGATTCCAATTCGATTTCGAAACGCGCGATGTATAATCGCGAATAATCGCAATTCACCCTAGCGTTGTGATCGATTCGTTATTTTTTCGCTCGAACGAGATCCAAAAGTGTCCAAAGGAAAAAGTGTGATTCAAAGCGGTTAATCCATTAAAAAAACCAAGATAATGAGGTCTGGCAAAGTCACATGCGTTTCCCCATATCATAGGGACACTTGCATTAATAAATTGTCAGGGAAAATTCGGTTTTTATGCGTCATCGAATTATCACTGTCACATCGCGAAGAGCCATGAAACATTACACAATCGATTCATTGTTTCGACGAGCAGGTAAAATGTTCTTATCTCACGTTGTTCACGTATTTTATCTTTTTCTTTTTTTCCCTTCGTCAATAGAATTTCAAATCGAAAGAAATCACAGCGAAAAAAATGTTAATGAGTGGAACGTGATAAAACCGAAGATCGACAGATAACGAAACTTCGACGAACACAAGAGAGCACGAAGCGGTTTCAGGACCACATAGTGTTGGTAGCTGAAATAAACTGGCGTAGGTTAGGGGATCGAAGAACAGCTGGGCTCGGCCTGGCTGCTGTACGCCATCACTGACTCACTCAACGCCTTCCTTCTCTCTCCAACTTATTCCTTTGTGCGATACCTCTTGCTCTTTCAGCACTATGTCTTTCTCTCTCTTTTTATCCTGTTTTCTCTCTATTCTCCCTCCCTCGCTCGTGCACACTCTATCCGACTGTCTCTCTCCTTCTCGCGCTTTTGGATAAATCACGTTTATTCACTCCCTATGGCGTTGTTCAGGATGATTCGTCCTTTCTCTGTTGCATGAAATTGTCCTGCCTTTTTTGACGTTTTGATCTATGTCTTTGATTGACTTATGACAGGTTTTTATTATTTGTAAAGTAAAATGAAGATTTCTCCAACTTTTGCGATACTTTATGTCCTCTTAGAATTGTTTTTTTTTTTTTATTTTGTATTTTCTAGTCGTTAAATTTTTATAAGTATTACATTTTCAATAAAACACTTTAAGTAATTATCAGTTTCGTTATGAGTTTTTAACTGCGTCGTTTTGTTAAGGTCGTTCCATTTAAAATTTCTTATAGAAAATTAATGTTATATCATTTCACATCATATACACCATTCATTGTTTTCTTTCCACTCTTATACAAAGTGATATTTCCATTTTGTCCGTGAAACTACTCCGCTTTTTTCTCCACTTATACAGAGTAATTAAAGAATTACTCATTTCACAATGACTGCATTCCTCAATATATTACTGTACAATCTAGCACTAAATGAAATGTTATTGCTATAATAAAATTTCACGACTTAGAGATTTGGGTAAATTATTCAATTTTTTTTATAACTGTTTATTTTATATTTATTTATTTTTCATTAAATTATTTTATATTTGTATATTAATTTTTATTAATTTTATTAATATGAAACTTTTTTATTATTTTATATCATAATCATAATTTGCATTTCACATAAATTATGATCAATTTTAAATAAAATTTTTCTTTTCTCTCTCTATTCCATTTTCTGTTATTGTTGTTCTTCATTTTCTATTTTCTATTTTATTATATCTTTACTTCTCTTCATGGTTTACTGAATCTTTTATCTAGGATATCTAATCAAAATCTCTTCTCTTTCGCTTAGAGACGAATAATTCAACATTATTGACTAGAAAATGAATTGGCGCCTGAGCGTAACTATCAAAAGAAAAAGAGTGCAACATCAAAACTGCTTTTTAATATTCTTCGTTATCAATACACTTGTTCGTTTATCAAGCACTTCGGAATGTACTCCGCTTCCTTTATAGATAAAATGAGGTTTGCTTTAATCACTAGTTTCGCGGCTTTCGCGTAAGTTTAATCCGATTGTTTTATTTTGTACTATTTGAAATATGTAAATGATGATATTAAAATACAAAACATTGAAAGTGATACTTCCTTTTAATAAAGATCAATATCACGTTATTTACTAAGAGATTTAATATTTTAAGTAAAAAAAAAAAAAGATATAAATCTACATAATTAGTTACATATCAAAGAAATATTATTGAAATATATTATTTATCAAATTTTATAATTGAAATGTTTCATTTAATTTTCAATTTTTTATAAAACATATAGGTTTTGAAAAATTTCATTTTTAGGAAATTTAATTAATAATAAATTAAAAATATTATTATTTAAATTATTATATATATTAATAATAATTTAAAACAAAAGGTTAACGTGACCTTTTGAAATTTATCGATCTTAATGGTGATGATATAAAATATAAAAATATTCATATATTAATATCGATTATAATAAATGTTAATTAATATTGAAAAGCAATTTTATAAATATTAGCTACTTTTTAAAGAAATTTTCTATAATTTCTATAATTTATAAAGCAAAATTAAATTGCTTTGAGATGACAGTATGTGATTTATAAATCTTTTTAAATAATTTTTTAATATACTAATAGTACTTCTACATGCACTTTTCGTACATGATATAATTTTTAATTTTCTACACAGAATATTATTTATATAAAAAAATTCAAATAAATAAACTACTATTTTTTAAGATTATTACAATTAAAGCAGTCATTTTTCAGAGATATGGCTCGAATGATTTTTTTCAAAATAATATTCTTTAAAAAAGAAAAAAAAAGAAGATCAACAAACACAAAATTATGGTGATCCAATAATATTTTCTAACTATTCTACAAAAGTTCAGAACTTTATATCAAATACGTAATATCTACACCCTTACAAGCTGGAAACAAGGGAGAAAAAAATCGAAGTTCTCGATTCCCCATGGCGTGATACACTTGAGCCATTTCGTGAGACAGAAGAAACTCTGATCAATAACATCACCCCCAAAGAGAGGCGGCAACCCTCTGCAACGACTCCCCCATGATGGTGGGCGCATGCTCACGAATTAAACGGCACCCTTTCTCGCGATTTCATCGTGTTCCCTCTCTTCCACTTCCTACCAGGGAAAGGACGAAAAATAAATATGCAGAAGCGCGTAAGCAAAGGGACACCGCGTTTGTACGCGACATTCATTCAGGCTAATGAGCTGACCTTGATCGTGAAAATATTCTCACTGGAGAAATTCCAACGATTTATCAAATGTGGAGCATTTTCCATTGCATCATCATAAGATTATCAATTTGTAGCCCACAGTTAGTTCTTTTTCTTTTTAAATATTGAAAATATTTTTATCCTTATTTTTTCTTAATTTTTCTTTTTCATTTACCTTTCTTTAATTTTTTTTTCTTTTTTTTTTTGACTGATTAAATATTTGATCAAAAGTATGTTATTATAATTATTAAAATTGAGGATAGTCTTTTTTTTTCAAAAATTTTATAAAATTGAATGGTTCAATGGAATTCTTAATACATTTTTTGTTATAATTTGAAATATCTTATACCCTAAAAATCCAATATCCATATTTAATAATATACCATAAAAATGAATAAATGGTTACAATATATATAATAAATGCTTGAAATAAATCTAAATGTCACGCAAGCTTCATTTTTCTTTTATTTTTTTCTTTTATTTTTTATTTATTATTGCTAAGGAAGAGATCATCATTAAGAATCATTAACCTAAAAGAATTAGTCTATGATAAAAAATAAAATAAAAAAATAATATGATAAAGAAGAACTTATCAATTAAAAAATTACATAAGTAGATAATTATAAATAGATAAATATTTCAAGCTATAAAAAATCTTCAATCTATAAAAAAATTTGGAATATAAAAATTTGACATTACATAAAAAAATACATACTTTACGTCAACCTATTAAATTTAAATGTTGAAAAAAAAAAATTTCATATCACTAACGAAAATAATTATTAAGTATATATCAATTACATTAATTTAAATAGATTAGATATAGATTATCAATAATGATAACGATTTGCAAATTGAGAGGGACAGTTTAGCGCGGATGCTGCGTATTACCTTGCCACTTCACCATATCATCGTTATTAATGCGCAGTATAGTATGCGTATCATTTAGGTTTGACTAATGTAAGTACGTATCTGCATTAGTGTGCTAGCGATGAAAAAAATTTTTAATGGAGTTTATAATATCATAAACAAGAAAAAGAAGAAAAAAAAAAGGAACAGTAATGTGAAGATACTCAACGCGAGTACTTTAATTTAAAACTACGCCATCAAGAGGTAATTTAATACGAAATCATAAATTACATTTAATTTTTTTAACGAGTATACGTTTCCCCCTCGATCCTTCGTTCTATAAAGTGAAATATGAAAAACCTTTGCTAAAATATAGAACATGAAAAATAAAATTTAAATGATTTTAAAAAATTATAATATTGAGAGGAAACGGATTATTTTTTTTCTTTTTTCGAAAAAAAAAAATATATTTATTTTTTTTTTAAATATACAGAGGCCAGCGTTTCTCGTCAGTAATTCTCTATGTGAAATTTCTATTTGCTCTGTAAACTATTTTCCATGGGCTCGATCTGATCAAAAGGAAATATTGAACCAGCTTACCTGCAGTATTATTGGACGATGGCTTCGACTTCTCCAAGTCAAGAGACGACTGGTCAATTCTCCTGCTCGTATACCTTCGCTAGAATCTAAATTTTGACAGAACCGTGGTCGAAATCGGAGATTGCTGTAAAAAGAAAAAAAAAAAAAGTTAATTAAAAACACGAGAAGTAAAAATTAATTCAAAATAATTGATATTCAATTTTGTAATTACAGTTATTATTTAAAATCCTTGAATATTTCATTAAAATTGTGTATAATGATTATAACGTGCTAATATTATTCTACTTAACAAGTAAACTCAAAGTTATAGAATGTATAACATTCATTAATACATTCATTGCGTAAAATTTTAATATGTATATACTTCGAATAAAATACTAATTACTTTATATTCGAATATATTATATTCAAAAAAAATATTCAAGTAAATAATAATTATTCGAATACTCGATTATCATATGAGACTGATAAAATCTTCTAAGAGACAATATCTTCTATTGAGACAGCAGAGAATCGTTGAACATCTTTCGATTGTTTTCGAATAATAACCGAAAGATGATCGGTTCTACATTCGAAATTCTTGATTATTGCATCAGTTTTAATATTTCATCGTTATTTAAAGATACAGAATAATTATTATTCTAAAATTTCTAAATAAAATATAAAATAATATAAATAATGAAAATGCGATCAACAATAAATATATTAAAATCATTTGTAGATGACAGAAATAGCACGATTGTAATAATCTCGGCGTTAAAAGACACGCTTCTGTTATATCAAGCTCAACTTTGAATTGCACGCGGAAGTTATATCTTCAAAGACATCGTTTAATGCTGTACTCACTCGTATCCAACCAACGGATTCTGTCCTATCTCTTCTTTTCTACTTTTCTCGCTCTGTCGTATCACGTTGTCTGTTAGATGTTTTCCTGAAACACGACATTTCATAGGTATGTTAGCGTTGAATTTCTAATATTACAAAAAATTTTAAAATTCCAACCAGTATACAAATTTTTGAGTAACTGTTTATTCATTTATAATATCAAATATCATTAGATATAATATTTCAAAAGATAAAATAGAGTCTAAAAATTTTTTATTTTTTATATAAATATTATATAAATTAAATAGTTAAAATTTA